TTTTCATGCAAAGCTATATATATAAGGACATTTCGATTTAAAAATTATTTAATTATTGTAATTCTTTCTCTGATAGTGGGAAATAAACCGTATATAATTAGTAGTATGTTTGAAACAGCAACATGCACCTTGAATATGAACTACAAAACAATTTTGAAATATTGGCTGCAACTAGCCTTATAGCTTTACAGGTCGAAAATGAGGAGAGTGCAGTGGAAATTCGAACCCGCGGAAGTACTTATGGGGCGGCTAAAGGTTGCTTGGGGTTCGAACATCGGCTTAGTAGTAATTTCGACTCCCGTTGTAATGGGACAGCGGATCGATCGGTGGGGTAGCGGACAAAAGTGCTATTTGTTCCCGTTTGCATGGTGTGAAACATGTCTCTTAGTCACGATATACCTATGTATGTAACTTAAAAAATGATGGCAATAGAAACTACGATATGTACATACATGTAGTTAATATAAATATTTAATACTAGCTGTGCGCGTGGTTTCACCCGCCTGAAATATAGCCTATGTGTTATTCTGATATCGTTACATTAATGTAAAGTTTCATAAAAATCCGTTCAGTAGTTTTTGCGTGAAAGTGTAACAAAGATCCATCCATACTCACAAACTTTCGCGTTTATGATATTATTAAAATATGTGTAATTATTTATTAATATTATATGTTATATATATAAGTATGTTCGCATATATATTTATATTTAATCACATTAAAGTTATCTTCTTTTATTACATTTGTATTTGAAATTTTGATAATGCACCGCGTACATGAATCTATTCTTGACTAATGGTTGACTGGGAGAAAATGCCTTAAGGTGTTAAGTCCGCCAAGAGCACCCTTAGTTATGTTTTTGGGCATTGAAGTTTTAATAAACAAATGAATATGATGAACGAAATCCTTATCAATGTGGATGATGATGTCCGTGTTGCTATTCACGTATATACGTGTCGATTAACTGCTGGGTCATCTGATTGTTTACCATTCCAATTAAATAAAAAAAAAAAACTAATATAATAAGTTGTCAGATGTCTAAATTTATATTAGTTTGTTGGTTGTAATAATAAGCTTATATTGGTTCTCTATATAAAGCAATTTCATTTCTTATCTCTCAGTGCAGGAAAGTGTCTTTATATTTGATTTGAAACATAATTTATTACTCTTCTTGGGTACTTACTTTTCTTCTTGAGTTCTTCTAGATTAGACGGGCCTCGCTGGTCTAGCGGTTTGGCATACCGTTTACGTTTCGATGGTCGCGGGTTCGATTCCTCGAACCTTATAAAATTTTTATGTATGAGTGTTTGTAATGGTCTGGATGGTGACTTATGCCGTTATAAGAATTGTATTCAAATATCTGTATCTTTTGTCCAGTACCCATAACACAAGCTCTGCTTAGTTTGGGACTAGATGGCGCTGTGTGTAATAGTATGGGCTATTATTATTACTATAATCACGTCTATAGAATTATTTAATAAATATATTTATAAAATAAGAGGTACAGCAAAGATTCCGTAATTATTCATATTAATAAACAATCGCTTTTGTCTTTAGGGAAATCTAAACATTGAGTTTGACAGGTAGGTAAGTTAAATATTTGATATTGGCTGTTTCAATTAATCTAGTGGACTTTTTAATTAAACTCTGATATCTTTATGACTTTATTAAATAAACAACTAATTATATAGAAAAAAGAAATAATTGTTCTAACAAAGTATTTACTTATTTCTTACTAGTGGTCTTCCACGAATTTACACGAGTACCTATTTAATAAAAAAAAAAACTTTAAATGCAACGTCGACGACTAATGGAAGGAGTGGAGCTACAATGAAAAATGTAGAAAAAAAACGGGGGAAATGTGACGCATGCAAACTAGCCAGTTCTTTAATGAATTTGTAGGTTTACATTTGTCACAAATTTTGTATAAATCATAGTTTTAAATTGTGGAGGTAAATAAAAACTCCATGATGCTATTTTCGCATCTCTATAATAATAATTTTATGCATAAAACAAATGAATGCTCTTTCATATTTTGAATTTGGAATACGTATGTATAAACGCCGTGATGGTATTTTCACATCTTTGTAATAACAATTCTATTAATAAAACAGATGAATGCTACGTATTCTAAATTTAAAATATGTTAATTTTTTTTTTTTTAAATATTAATATTTAATATTTTACGGCTCTGGATACAAGTCCTTTTTAGCCCAACATAAGATACAAAACCTAATTATAATTTCTTCCCAGTGTTAAAAATAAATTTATATAAAATCTTGTATAGTGCAGGCCTTGATAAGATCTCTTCTAGAGACTTCGGTACTTCATTAATATGCTCTTGAATCTCGTGAATGAGTAATAATCTGTCGAGTCCGTATTTTCTACATTTGAATATAATATGATTCAAATCTTCGTCTTCATTGCAGTGAGGACATTTTGGGTTGTGAACCATTTTCATTCTGTATAGGTGAGTGCGAGTTTGAACCAAATCTCATACGATTAATAGTCGTGATAAATTGTCTGCTGTCGACGTCTTTATTGTTGTGGTACCAAGGTTTGGCGGGCAGGGTTCCTTGGATCTTGGCATACCATTTTCCCTTATCGTTAGCAATATTTATGTAATAGTTATTCCATAATAATTTTAGAGCATTTTTAAGTGAGCTATAATAGTCGGTGAATGAAACTTTAAACATATTCGAGTGGTCTTCATTATGAACATTCCGAGCAGCTTGATCCGCTATTTCATTTCCAGCAATTCCTTTATGACCAGGTACCCACAAGAATGTTACCTGCTTACCGTTGTTTTTCAGATCATAAATATTTTGTCTGATATATACAATAAATAGTTTAAATTATATCTAAGAGATATATTTTGTAGAGCTTTTAAAGCACTTTGCGAATCCGTTATTATCATAAAGTTTACATCATTTATATTATTTATATGCTGTAATGCTGCATATATAGCATAACATTCAGCAGTAAATATACTACAATTGTTATCTATTTTAAAACATTTTGTTAATTTAAGTTGTGGGTCATAATATGCTGATTTAACATTATCAGAAGTTTTTGAACCATCTGTGTATATTCTATAAGAAGCCATATTTTCATTTATCTTATATATATCAGCATTACAGATATTATTATCTATATATATTGATATGTTATTATTTATAAGTGCATCATAATTTATGATACAAAGGCCAAATTTTACTTTTATATATATTTACAGTTTGAGAATGAATATGCAAAACAATTCTTAATATTTCAGGTAAATAACCAGATAAAAGTCGGTTAAAGTCTACATAAGGGCCTGGTGTAACTGATTCAACAACTTTGGGAGGTATGATTCTATCCAAGACATTATTATTATTAGAAGAAATAAGCTTTAAACAAAATTTCTCTGCTATTTGTAAGCGTCTTAATATTAAAGGGGGATATTCGTTCACACTCCATAATATGTATCACATCGCTCCTGTAATTATTCTTAATGCTTTATTTTGTATAATGTCAAGTTTTCGTAGTAAAGTTGGGTTTGTATTCATATATGCTAGGGAGCTGTAGTCAAAATGGCTTCTAACTATACTCTTATATAACATAGACAATGTGCGAGGATCAGAACCCCAGTGAACTCCAGCCAGGGCTTTCAGTATATTAAGACCTTTACATGCAGATTTTATAATATTATTTATGTGATTGTTGAAAGATAATTTTTGATCTAAATGTATTCCAAGAAACTTTTTTTCCTGAATCCATGGCAGCAAAATGTTATTATATAAAATAGGTTGTGAACAATTGTGACTCTTTTTTGAAAATATTAATGCTCCACTTTTACTGGGACTTATAATTAATTTTAATTTATTATGATAGTAATCACAAATTTGTTTTAATGCAATATTTAAATTATTTACAGCAATAGTTACATTATTATTAACACTATATACAAGCAAATCATCAGCAAACTGTAAAAAATTTATATTATTATTATTTTGTGTCAAATAATTATTGATTTGACAAGTGTACAAGTTATACAACAAAGGAGAAATAGTAGCACCTTGCATAGTGCCCTTATAAACATATCTAGGTCCATGAATTATGTTGTTGTATTTTACATACATAGTTAAAATATGTTAATTAAGTTTATTATTGTTATCCTTTGTTTTTTTCGCAATTTAAGGTTTTAAAGAATAATGTTTATGTTGTGATCCATATTTAATAACATATTCTGTGAAAATTTCATTGTGAAACGTCCAAGCACTACGTGAAACATTTAGTGAGTCACTAATATGTCCAGACAGGTTGCGTGGTGGGACGGGTCATTGCATAGGCTCCCTAGAATATGGTTGAACGCAATTATGGCTAGCTCGTTCATTATACTCGTGTACAGGAGCTTCTATGCACTGGTCTGCGTTGATCACCAAGACTGATTTATTTTGTTATTATATCAGGTCGACTAAAATGCTCCACTCTAATTAATTCCTGGTTTATTACTCGATTAACTAATTGACAGGATTTTTCCTCCTATCATTTTCCACTGGTGGCTCACCAATGTACTCCATTAGCTCGAGAGAGTGCACCATTCCATATATATCCGTTTTTATGTCTGAATGTTTTGTTATATCTAATGCTTATAGTACAACTTCTTAGTTTAAGACTAGATGACAGTGCGTGTAATAACATTATTTCGAAAGTCACTAAACCGCCAAAACTTTGGAAATAGAGGCCCAAAAAGTTCACAGCAGTAATTAATTAATTTTAATTATATTACACACCCATTCGCGTAGACCGGTACTAATTCACTTTATTTATTAAAATGATATTATCTGCCTTGATGCATACGGGCGGGCTGTTCCCCGCATAGAAAACCTTCGCGTAACCATGGTTACGTGACGCTGCAGTGCTTGCGACGCCCGCCCTCCACCGCAGTAAGCGTGTACACTCCGTTCGGAGCGCTCGATGTGTTTGAATTTCGAACTTGCCATCGACAGTCATTTGTTTTTCGATTTAAATTCGCAATCACGTGTTCGAATTTCAAACGAACTTATATTTTTAAATTGTTATTGCGTTTTATTTTTACACCAAAAATAGAGGTTTACGTTAAAATGAATAAATTGGGATGTGCACTTTGGTAGCGAGTTTGGATGCAGTTAATGTGTATTAGTGATGGAGCTAGGTGTATTGTGTTTGTGTGAGCCATGAGGGTTGGTTTTGGATTTTGGATGCTCATCTCGACGACATGACGGCACAGGAGAGATCAAATATTTTTTCGGACGATGACGAGGACCTGGTAAGTGTTGTTTCTTGTATCCCGATTATGTAACTTATATCCTTAGAATTTGGATGTGATCCAAATGTTCCTCCCTTTTATTACATAAACTCTGCATTGCGTTTTGTTATTATATTTATGTGATAAACAATAGAATTGTATATAGCTTACTCTATGCTACATAACTTTTAAAGTAAATCTTTAGAAGAAAAACTTAATTATATAGGTACTTTATTAGGCAGATCTCGCCTGTATTTGCAAACTTAATAATAACTATGTTTTCTGATAAACCCGACTAATTCCAGTATAGTTAGTGTATATAGAGAGTGCATTTCATTGATTTATTGACTACTGAAGGCGATGTTTTAATTACGCCTGTAAACTATACCTATTGGAATGTAGGTATCGTCAGGTGGCATTTATTATTATTCATTTATACTGTAATAAAAATCCAAAAGCAATTTGTATCTTTGTATATATTAAATATCAATAAAAATTCACCGAAGCAGAGCTTGTGTTATGGGTAGTAGACAACTGATATTTTTTATGTAAATACATAAATAATATACAGAGAAAACAACCAGACCAATACAAAACATCATACTCATGAATACAAATTTTAATGTTTGCACAATGTGAGATATCTAACCCGCGACCGTTCTAAAGTAAGGCGGTGCCGCGGCGTGCTACACCGCTAGACCATCGCCGACCAAGCCGCCTCATACAGTCTACATAGATATACTTCACTAAACGAAATCAGAAAACGTGTCAACAAGAAAAAACAGTTATGAGAGCCATTACAAAAGTATAATATTGGGAGTACTTAAAAAAACTCCATTGTTATGGAATCTTTGTAAGAACGGAGAATACAAAAAAAATGTAATTGAATTTTTCAAATCTTTTGGTGTTATGATTACTAGAGGCTGTTTGTTTTAAATCTTTTCATTGAAATATAATAACTTAAGTGTTTTGTAATAAAGTATAGAATTATATGAATTGTATATTCTGTGTAGGTATTTTTTTTAAACAATCTGATAGATCCACCTGAAGCCGAGTGGTAAATAACTATGTACACGAATAGACGTGATTATCACGTCAATATGCTCATAATGCTCATGTCTTTTACAATTTTGAACTGATATATTCTCACCTTTCTAACAGAAACATAGCTTACAAAGCACGCCGTTTCAAGACTACCTATCTGAAGGTAGATAGGTAGTACTTAAACGGCTTGCTAAGTGCCTAAAGATAGATAGATAAGATTTTTTATTTGTATCTTAGAACACACATACACAATTATAAATAGTATCTATACAATACAGATTATATAACTCACTTTGTATATATTTAAGTTTAGAACTGTATTTAAAAGTGCAATACAGATTATATATATAAACCAATGCAATAGAATATGGGTAGACATGCAGATTATGTGTGTGCTACAGCAATACAAAATGGCTCATTCACGTTGGCCCACGCAGCTTAATTGGCAAGAAGTAATAGCTGATGTTAGGTGGAGAAAGTACCTTTGCCAAACCCTTGTTTTATTCACTTTTATAACCTATCTTATGCCAGCCGGTAATGACACGGTATAAAAGAAATATTCGTGTTTTTTCTTATTGGATTATGAGTGTTGTTCCGAAGATTATTTGTTATTACTGGGATTTTGAAAATTAATAGCAGGAATCTAGTTTACTTATAACTCGCGTTTCACGTTGTACACATTGGAAACAAAGTGTTACGGAAAAAATTTGAAACCGTGGGGTTATATCCATAACCTTCTGACGCTCCGAGGTTTTTAATGTTCTTTAGCACGTTTCAGGATGTAGGGCATATGTTAGCACAAATTCACAGATTTAACACTTTATTTCACTACACCTTTTATTATATTTTAGGAATGTCCCGCGAGCTGACCGGACCGTAAAGTGAGGTCTTTGTAATCGTCATGGTAAGGAAAACGTATATAAAAACTACCTACATTTTCGAACACAAAGAAACGCAAACAAGACATAACAGACAGTTGCTTTTTACTGTATGATGGTGTTGCAACAATTTTGTCTCCAATTAATCTGCACTCTATATAATTGATAATAATGATAACATTGTTTATTTTGAAAGGATTCCTAACAAAAATATTAAAAATTAGCTATACCCGCGACTTCGTCCGAGTGGAATATAACTTTACTTTTCTAAAATAAAAGAATTTTCTAAAATAAAAGTAGCCTAAGTTACTCCTTTTTACATCAGCTACCTGCCAAAAAAAGTCCCGTCAAAAGCCAGCAAGGTCCAGCCATTTAAGAGATTAGCCGGAACAAACAGACAGACAGACAAAAATTGTAAAAAGTATTATTTTGGTGTATGTACCGTATTTATATCCAAGTAAAAACGGTTATTTCAGTATTACAAACAGACGCTCCAATTTTATTTATATGTATAGATTATTTAACAAACAGACGCTCCAATTTTATTTATATGTATAGATTATTTATTTAAAAACATGGACATCACAATTAGTCAAGACGGAGAGTTTCGTGCCAGATGCCTATTTTCCCAGGGAAGTGACGCGAGGTCGTGAAACTTTATCACCTTATAAATAATCACGAATGACAAACAATCAATATTCTATACCATTTGCGTCATTCTTCGTAGATGAGGGTGTTTCGGCCAAAGGTGCTATCAAAACAAATCTACAACAAATAATCCATAATGAACCTATATCTATACCTATCTATGTTCTTGAGAATTGTTTGACACGTTGCCCACTGCTACCTTTTACCTTCGCACAGCTCACCATCGACACACGCTGGAACCTAAGTGGTCTCGGACAGTGCGGATTCAGAGGCACTTATACTATTGAATGAGCTTCCTGTAAGGTTTTCTCGAGACCCTACAGCATGGGGTTTTTCAAGAATGGTATATAAAGATTTCTTAAGGGTCGGCAACGCGCACACACCCCTAGTGTTTGATTTTTATCTTCAATATTAAAATCAAAATATCCTTATTCTCGTAGGTTTATTATAGACTCTTATAATATGTCTAATCTACCTTCAGTTCGTAGTGCTTTTGGGCTGAGAAGAACTGACAAAAAACATATCTATAGTTTGAATTATGATTTGATAGCAGTTTGAACTGAGAGTAAACAACTGATTTTTGTACATGTTTGCGAGGGTACCACTCCTCAATGCACCCTCGGGACCGCAGCTGACTTTAACTAAGCTTCATAAAACAACTTTCTTAACCATCTTAGAAGTTTAGGACCGGAAGGTAATTGGTCACCTTGACCTTGGAATGATAGGAAATTGGTGGCTTGAGGACCACTTGCTTTGCAATCTGTATGTAAAATGTATCAAGAATAAGACAGTGACATTACTGAATATGAAAGTATAAGGGGGGAAGGGTTTGATAGTAATTGAATATACTCTATCTGGTTGACCTCCACGTTGTTACCCCTGGAAAACATCGCGGTTATTTTCGAGTGACTTCATGATCATGGACTGACGAACCTGACTATATCTTCATTATATCATACTCCATTGGTGCCCCGTCAGCGTATACAGTTAGCACACGCTGTGCTAACTGCATACGCTAAAAAATGTGGTGACACTGCGTTTATTTTTTTTTAGTTTAGTTTATTAGTTTAGTTTATTTTTCTATTCTCTCATCAAAATATTAAAGAAAATACTTTATTTATGTTATGACCTTACTGTCTTCGACTCTGTAATATATCACCTTATTGTTTTATTCTATTGTAATGTTTCCATTAAAATATTTATCCAACAAATAAATTGTTTTACAAGAAATTGTACTGGGTTGTTATAATTATTATTGTTATATATATGACTTCTGAAACAAAGGTATTTTCTATTCCTACCTCACAAGTCAGCCTGATTTCTGAGGTAGGAAAATTCTTAAATTATTTGTACAAATTATGTGAAATAAATAAAATTATTAAATTATTAGATATTATTCTTCAATTATTGTCAACGATCAGTGCGATTTCTGACTCTTTCACACACCTAAAATATATGAAAGTAGAGAAATTTTGTTCCAAGAACCAAAGTGTGTGAAAATAAATTTTAGACCTCTCATACTAAATCAGTCCCGTAATCGTGCAGTTCCTATGAAAGGTTAATAATTTATTTTCATATATCTTACATGCTTCGAGATGAATGTTGTTTAATATCATGAATGTTATCTTTGAACTTTAGAATTATCTTCTTTAACTATTTAGTATATATTGGATCGGCTAGTTAATATGTAAATAGGAAATCGAATATAATAAAATGTATCAGAATAACACATAGGCTATAATTTATATTAAAGACTAGCTGTACTCGCAACTTCGTCCGCGTGGAATTTAACTTTATTATTCTAAAAAGAAAGTAGCCTAAGTTACTCCTTATTACATCAACTACCTGCTAATAAAAGCCTCGTCAAAATCGGTCCAGCCATTTCAGAGATTAGCCGGAACAAACAGAGAGACAGACAAAAATGGTAAAAAATGTTATTTTGGTGTATGTACCATATTTATATTCATATGCATGTACTAATAAGCGGTTATTTCAATATTACAAACAGACACTCCAATTTTATTTATATGTATAGATATTATGTAAATTGCGCGAAATATAATGATAAATGTATATAGTAAGTATATATTATAATAAAGTAGTAAGTGTGTTGCAGACGAAGTTGCACGGGTCAGCTAGTTAATAGGTAAATAGAAAATTGAATATATTAGAAATAAATGTATTAAAATTGTAAAATCAGGACGAGATAAAAACTGTCTCCTTATCTGTTTATGTGTTAAGCTATCGCATATTTGAAGCAATTAGGATGAATCACAGATCAATGATCACAGTATACACAGTAGATAATAAGATCAAAATGTATCCCATCCCATTTACTAACAACCGATCTTGAATCAATTCAATTCAAAATCTTCCCCATTTTGAATTACAGTTCTGGAATATGTATCATATGTCAGGCTATCTTGAAACTCTACCATTATTGTCATAAAT